GGTCTGTGTTCTATTACTAGAGATAAGAGTGATGTCATGCGACCTCCCAGAATCCTCCTCACCTCTCCGGTCAGGTCTGTGTTTTATTAATAGAGATGAGAGTGATGTCATGCGACCTCCCAGAATCCTCCTCACCTCTCCGGTCAGGTCTGTGTTTTATTAATAGAGATGAGAGTGATGCATGTGACTTCCCAGAATCCTCCTTACCTCTCCGGTCAGGTCTGTGTTTTATTAATAGAGATGAGAGTGATGTCATGTGACCTCCCAGAATCCTCCTCACCTCTCCGGTCAGGTCTATGTTTTATTATTAGAGATGAGAGTGATGTCATGTGACTTCCCAGAATCCTCCTCACCTCTCCGGTCAGGTCTGTGTTTTATTAATAGAGATTAGAGTGATGTCATGTGACCTCTCAGAATCCTCCTCACCTCTCCGGTCAGGTCTGTGTTTTATTACTAGAGATGATGATGTCATGTTACCTCCCAGAATCCTCCTCACCTCTCCGGTCAGCTCTGTTTTATTAATAGTGATAAGAGTGATGTCATGTGACCTCCCAGAATCCTCCTCACCTCTCAGGTCAGATCTGTGTTTTATTAATAGAGATGAGAGTGATGTCATGTGACCTCCCAGAATCCTCCTCACCTCTCCGGTCAGGTCTGTGCTTTATTACTAGAGATGATGATGTCATGTTACCTCCCAGAATCCTCCTCACCTCTCGGTCAGCTCTGTTTTATTAATAGTGATAAGAGTGATGTCATGTGACCTCCCAGAATCCTCACCTCTCAGGTCAGGTCTGTGTTTTATTAATAGAGATGAGAGTGATGTCATGTGACCTCCCAGAATCCTCCTCACCTCTCCGGTCAGGTCTGTGCTTTATTACTAGAGATGATGATGTCATGTGACCTCCCAGAATCCTCCTCACCTCTCAGAGACCAAGATGGCAGCTTCCTTGGCTGAAAAGGAGAGGAGGGTTTAGTTCCCAGGACAGGTGCACTTCTAAAGTATAACTAAAGGCAAAATGTTTTTTTTTTAGTGTTTGACAGAGTGGAGAGGGATTAGACCCCCTGTCAGTTTTTATTGCTGTCTGGGCCCCCATTAGGGAGACCCCCCTCTCTATTTGTCCTGTTTACCATCATCATTGAAAATGAAAGTAAAAGTAAATCCTAAATTTTGTGTTGTCCCCAGAACAGTAACAGAGAGGAAATCTTCCAATAGGGACACTAGTTCTGGTGACCTGGGGGGGGGGGGGGGGGGCAAGGAATTCCCTTCATTTGCAGGGATTTCCTCCCACTTACTCGTTTGGCTATGGGACAGGACATGAAGGGAAATCTCCCCAATGGGACACAGATGGTGAAACATAAACTGGCAGGGGTTTAAACCCTCCCTTACTCTATCTGAAATGAAAAAAAAAAGGATGGGATTTTTTTGTACTCACTGTAAAATCCCTTTCTCTCAGTTCATTGACAGATACAGCAGCTTCTTCTTTAACCTGCTTTGTTAAAGAAGAAGCCGCTGTGTCCGTCAATGAACCTAAGAGAAAAAAGTTTCATCTATAGTTCTAATATAAATGACTATATAAATGAACTCTATATAACTATATAAGACTTTTCTAGAGCCTCCCTCATCTTCTGGAACTCTCTACCCCAATCTATTCGACTATTGCCTACTCTGCCCACTTTTAGGCGATGTCTGAAAACCTATCTCTTCAGGGAAGCCTAGTAATGGAATCTTCTATTTCTCCTATCAATTCATCCCCCACAGTTATTACCTTTTGTACCACCAGCCCCTCCCTCTTAGATTGTAAGCTCCAAGGAGCAGGACCCTCCTAAAACTCTTGTATTGTCTCCCTTTATATAGTAAAGCACTGAGTACACTGTTGGCACCATATATCCTGTATAATAATATAACATAAAATGGGCAGCACAGTGGCTAAGTGGTTAGCGCTTCCACCTGGCAGCACTGGGGTTTGCATGTTCTCCCTGTGCTTGCGTGGGTTTCCTCCGGGTACTCTGGTTTCCTCTCACACTCCAAAGACATGCTGGTAGGTGTATTGGCTCCTGTCTAAATTGGCCCTAGTATGTGTATGTATGAATGTGAGTTAGGGACCTTAGATTGTACGCCCCTTGAGGGTTAGGGACTGATGTGAATGTACAATATATATATAAAAGCGCTGCATACATTGACGGCGATATATAAGTATCTGAAATAAATAAATAAAATGCTATAGCATCCAGCCAGAAGGCGCTGTGGGCTCTTGGTTCTGCACTATTGATATGTTATGAAGGTTTTCCTCTAAGGCCCCTTTCACACAGGCGTTCCGTATGTCCGTTTTTCATCTGTCCACTTACGGATGAAACACGGACACCCATGTATTTCTATGGACTAGCGGATGTAAACGGATGATCATCTGTGTACATCTGTTAATGTCTGCATCCGTTTTTTTTTTTTGAACGGAAGAAAACCCTATTTTTCTTCTGTTAAAAAAAATGGAACAGACAAAAAACGGAAGTAAACAGACAAAAAATGGACAAAAAAGAGATGTAAACGGATGAAAAACTGATGTAAATGGACAAAAATGGATGTAAAAACGGATGAAAAACTGATGTAAATGGACAAAAATGGATGTAAACGGATGAACAACAGAATTAAACGGATGTAAACGGAAAAAATGGATGTAAACAAACGAAATCGGATGTAAACAGATGTAAAAAAATGAATGGAAAACAAAAGTAAAGTGATGGAAAATGGAAGTAAACGGACAAAAATGTATGTAAATGGACAAAAACGGATGTACACTGACAAAAACAGATGAAAAAAAACGGATGTAAACAGATAAAAAATGGATGGAAAACGAATGTACACCAATGAAAAATGGATGTAAACGGATGAAAAACCGATGTAAATGGATAAAAATGGATTTGAACGGAATTAAAACGGATGTAAATGGACAAAAAAAGGTGTAAACGGACAAAATTGGATGTAGACAGATGAAAACAGATGGAAATGAATGTAAATTGATGAAAAACGGATGTAAACAGACGAAAACCTATGTAAAAAGATTTTTAAAAAATGGATGAAAAACTGATGTAAATCTATGAAAAATGGATGTAAACATACAAAAAACTGGTGTAAATGGACAAAAATGGATGTAAACGAATGAACAGTGGATTAAAATTGATAAAAGCGGATGTAAACGGATGAAAAAAACAGATGGAAAATTAATGTAAACAGATGAAAAAATGGATGAAAAACTGATGTAAATGGACAAAAATGGATGTAAACGGAATTAAAAACAAATGTAAATGGACAAAAATGGATGTAAACGGACCAAATTGGATGTAAACAGATGAAAATAGATGTAAATGGATGAAAAAAGAATGTAAATTTATGAAAAACGGATGTAAACAGATGAAAACAGATGTAAACAGATTTTAAAAAATGGATGAAAAACTGATGTAAATCGATGAAAAAGGATGTAAACGGATGAAAAACTGATGTAAATGGACAAAAATGGATGTAAGCAGATGAACAGTGGATTAAAACAGATAAAAACGGATGAAAAAAATGGATGGAAAATGAATGTAAACTGATGAAAAACAGATGTAAACAGATGAAAAAATGGATTAAAAACTGATGTAAACGGATGAAAAACTGATGTAAATGGACAAAAAAGGTAGAAAGATGAAAAACAGATTAAAACGGATATAAACTGACAAAAACTACTGTAAACTGCTGAAATCAGATGTAAACAGATGAAAATGGATGTAAACTGATGACAAAACGGATGGAAAATCAATATAAACTGATTAAAAACGGATGTAAACAGACAAAAAACTGATGTAAATGGACAAAAATGGATGTAAACGGATGAAATGCAGATTAAAAAACGGATATAAACTGATAAAAATGACTGTGAACAGATGAAATTGGATGTAAACAGATGAAAAAAAAAGATGGAAAATGAATGTAAACTGATGAAAAAGGATGTAAACGGCTTAAAATTGATGTAAACGGATAAAAACCGGATGAAAAAATTGATGTGAACTGATCTGTTTTTTTCTTGGAAAATGTGACTGAACTGATGACAAAAACATAACGCCCGTGTGAAAGGGGCCTAAAGCTAAACTACAACCAAGAGAGACATATTCAGTTATCTCTCTAGCGCAGGCTGGTTACACAGAGCGCTCTCTCTGGTTGCTATAGTGACAGTCCAGAGCAACTGCCAATCTTTTCTCTCTCTCTCTCTCTCTCTCTCCTCTCTCTCATTATTCTTCAGCTATTTCCGCCCTGTGGCTCCAGCACTTCCACTGTGTACGCTCTGCTTTCTGGTTGCCATAGTGACGCCAGGAGGAGCGATTGGACAATCTTTCAGATTGCCACATAGTGACAGAAGGACGTTTGTTCTAGCACTAGAGGGCGACCGTGTGTCATTGAGAGGTAGAAGTGTCCTCAGTGCAGGAGGGGAAGCGGCCATTTTGTTGTAGCCTGAAGAAGGGTGGGATTTTTATGTCTGAAAGCAATTTCTACCCGCAGAGTGTGTGTCCAGTGAGGAGAAGGTAATGATGTCTTTTTATTATGAGAGGAAGGGGTCTCTGTGGAATGAATTGGGGTGGGGTGTCATGAGACTGCTGTCATGTCCTATATAAAGCACACAGGGGGATGGTTTCATTGGGATTTGGTGAGAAAAGGCTATAAAAGGATCCTCTTCTTCCAGAGGAAAGCAATATGACCTATTGTGGGGTGATGGGCTGCTGGCTGTGAGCTGAGCCATATGATATCAATATGAGGAATGACAGGTCCTCTTCATCTCCATATCTATGTCTGTGCTGAACCTGTTCTCCTCCCTTCATGTCTCTCTTCTCCATACTTCTTTTGTCTGTCTCTCTCGGATGAAGTTGACCCATGACATAATGGATCCCATAGATCTTCTCTATTTCTCCTAGTGTTAGGTTTCTAGGTCCTGAGACAACGAAATACAAACAGGAAACCCCTCAAATCTGATCACCTGACCAAGGATGTGGGAGGAGCCAAGTCACATGACAGAGAGGATACTAAACCTCACCCTTCAGATTGTCTACCTGCTGACTGGAGAGGTGAGGAGGATTCTGGGAGGTCACATGCCGTCGCTCTTTATTAATAAACCACAGACCTGACCGGAGAGGTGAGGAGGATTCTGGGAGGTCACATGACATCACTCTCAACATAGACCTCACCGGAGAGGTGAGGAGGATTCTGGGAGGTTACATGACAACACTCTTTTCTCCATTAATAAAAACAGACCTGACCGGAGAGGTGAGGAGGATTCTGGGAGGTCACATGACATCACTTTTTATCTCTTAATAAAACACAGACCTAACCGGAGAGGTGAGGAGGATTATGGGAGGTCACATGACATCACTCTTATCTTTGTTAATAAACACAGACCTGACTGGAGAGGTGAGGAGAATTTTGGGAGGTCACATGACATCACTCCTATCTCTATTCATAAAACACAGACCTGACCAGAGAGATGAGGAGGATTCTGGGAGGGTTATGTAACACAATAGTTTTTTATACAGAGTTTTCCTTCTGTGAAGTCTGATGACCATGTGACCATCACAGTGCCTCATACTTCCTTCCTGACATCTGGAAGGAAGGACAAGAAGATTCTAGAAGTCACCCAGAAGATCATTGAGCTGCTGACGGGAGAGGTGAGCGGTGCTGGGAATTCTGGGACATTCTCCAGTAACAGACAAGGGATGTGTCTGGATGGTGACTGTATCATTGTGTGTCAGGTTCCTATAAGGTGTCAGGATGTCACTGTCTATTTCTCCATGGAGGAGTGGGAGTATATAGAAGGACACAAGGACCTCTACAAGGACGTCATGATGGAGAACCGGCCGCCCCTCACATCACCGGGTAAGAGGAGACTTTAATTTCTTGTATTGAGGATCCACCTAGATACACACATCCTCTGATATAAAGACATAGAAACAATGTATTCAGTAAGTGTGTGTGTTTCCTACAGATGGATCCAGTAATGGGAACCCACCAGAGAGATGTCCCCGTCCTCTGTATTCCCGGGACTCCACACAGGAACATCAGGAGATCCCTCAGGAGGATGAGGTACAAGGAATAGAGAGACCCTATTATGTTTGATTTCAAAGCGTATTGAAGCTCAAAAACAAAAAATGCACCTTTCCAGTCCCTAGTGGCTTTATTAATTTTCTTATTCTGGATTTTTTTCATTATTTTTTTCCGAGTAATCCTACCAATATTATGTCCCCGAGAGGCATACCCACTCCTCCACTGTATCTAGGGAAGGAGCCATGGTTGCCGCCTAAGCTGGACTACAAATACGTTAAATACAAATACTAGTGCTTTTGTTCATCTCCATGTGGCTGATGGGGTTAGTAGTTTACATAAGAAAGATAAGGTCGTCTTCCCAAATTGGCACATTGATTTTTTGGTTTTGACCTTAGTTCTACTGTAAGTTGTTGATTTGTGGAAGGAAGAGAGGACCCTGAAGAAGCAAAGCTTCTTTGAGGGGCAGAGTCCAGTGAGCTTCTACTAACAGATGGAGGAGCATGGAGAACCAAGGCATTGTGGCCCAATGTGGGTAATCAGGATGGAGAATGTTCTCAGAATCTGGGGATTGCCAAGGCTTCATCCCTTCTGTTAACTGTAAAGAAGGCAAGAACCTTTGCATTTTCATGATTACCAAATATGTCCACGTGGGGCTATTCCCATCTGTCTGTGACCATGGAAAAAAATTTTCCTGCTGTAAGGTCCATTTGTACACTAGAACTTGCTATCTGGTCAGGAAGCTGGCCACCAGATTGAGGATTCCCTGCCGATGAACTGCTGTAAAAGATTCCAAATCTTTGACCAGGATAGGATATCTTTTGCCAGTCAAAACAAAGTCTTGCTCCTAGTGCCCCCCTATTTTGTGAAATACTACTGCTGTGGTCTTGTACCATAACAGATGTACATGTTGACCATGAAGATCCTACAGAAAAGAGATCATAGCCAGCCCAATGGCCTTCAATTCTCTCCAGTTGGAAGGATGTTGTTTTTTTGTTTATATAATAAAAAAAATAACAGTGGTGATCAACTACCACCAAAAGTAAGATCGATTTCTGCATAAAAAATTATATCAATTTTGTTTGGGTACAGCATTGCATGATTTGCACAATTACCAGGTAAAGTAGTACAGTGCTAAATAGTAAAAAATGGTCTGGTAATGAATGGGGGTAAAACTCTATATTGCCAAAAGTATTGGGCCAGCCCTCCAAAAAATTGGATTCAGGTGTTCCAACCACGTTCATGGCCACAGGTGTATAAAATCAAGCACTAGGCATGCAGACTGCTTCTACAAACATTGGTGAAAGAATGGATCGTTCTCAGGAGCTCAGTGACTCCAAGCGTGGTACCGTGATAGGTGGCCACCTGTGCAATAAGTCCATCCGTGACATTTCCTGGCTACTAAATATTCCACACTCAACTGTTAGTGGGATTATAACAAAGTGGAAGCAACTGAGAGCAAGAGCAACTCAGCCACCAAGTGGTTGGCCACATCACATGACAGAGCGGGGTCAGCGCATGCTGAAGCGCACAGTGCGCAGAAGTCGCCAACTGTCTGTAGAGTCAATAGCTAAAGACCTCCAAACTTGGTGTGGCCTTCAGATGAGCACAACAACAGTGCGTAGAGAGAGCTTCATGGAATGGGTTTCCATGGCCGAGCAGCTGCATCCAAGCCTTACATCACTAAGTGCAATGCAAAGCGTCGGATGAAAGTGGTGTAAAGCACGCCGCTACTGGGCTCTAGAGCAGTGGAGACATGTTCTCTGGAGTGACCAATCAAGCTTCTCTGGCTGGCAATCCGATGGGCGTATCTGGGTTTGGCGGTTGCCAGGAGAACGGTACTTGCCTGTCGGTCTTTTTTTGTTTATAGCACAAAAAATTAAAATTGCACAGGCGATCAAATACCACCGAAAGAAAGCTCCATTTGTGAGGAAAAATGACTTAAATTTAATTTATGTAAAGCATTGCATGACCGCGCAATTGTCAGTTAAAATAATGCAGCTCTGTATCACAAAAAAATGGCCTGGTCAGGAAGGGGGGGGGGGGGTAAATTCTCAGGAGGGCGAGGGGTTAAGGTTTGAAAGTGAAATATGGGTGAACCTGCACCCTCTCGGGGGGCAGTCATGAAACCTTGGAATGTTTGTTTCCTGTTCAACTCACAGGAAGTCTGAGGGACACTGTACTGCTGGCAACATTAACAGGTATTTTCTGTACTCAATAAAAATGTTATTCGCCTGAAAACTAATGCAGCCACTATATTTAAGGACTGATAAGTTGCAGCATATTAAACATTTTTTATGTGTTTATCAGCATTTTTTTTAGGGACAATAACAGTTGCAGCTAACACAGTATATATACAGTATACAGTATACAGTATATGTATATATATATATATATATATATATTTTTTTTTTTTTTATGTTTTTTATATCTTTATTAAATTTTCCAATACAAAAGGGTACAGCCACCCAATATAATTAATATACACCAATGTAATAAATCACTTTTATACTTCCCACCCCACCTCCCACATACTCCCCATCCAGATTACCCAGTTCCATAATTTAATTAACATTAACACAGTATATCTTATCCAGGGTGAAAGCCTGATTTTGGTTAAAATTGAGGATGAAGAGACGATTTTGATGGGTGATCTGTATGAGGAGGAGGAGATCCCTCCAGAGATCAGCACAGGTGAGTAATAAACACTAAATCCAGAGAAGAGTCCCAGATCCTCCTTGTTCAGTCACTACAACCATCTCTTCTTCTCCTCTCATCTCTGTCAGTAGACAGTAATGGGGGGACAGTATGTGCCCAGTGGGGGGGTCAGGAGCCATCAGCCTCTAGTAGACTTCGGCTCTCCTCCTCATATCATGTCATTGAGACGTGACCAGTCTCCCCCCACACACACTCTCTGGGGTCTCTCATACATCTCAGTACGGGGGGCTTCACTCTCATCTTTGTTCACAGACACCAGAGATACTCAGAGAGACATCAAAGCTGAGGAGGAGGAGGAAGAAGGACATGTCAGGATTAAAGTGGAGGAAATACCTATAGAGATCCACATGAGTGAGTAATGTATATGTTAAATACAGAAATGTATTTCCCTGCATGGTCCCTGCCTCGTCTTCTTGATGAAAGAATGCCTCTCAGAATCCTCTACACTTCTCCAATTAAAGCTGGGTACACATGTACCACAATTTTGCCTATTCAGCAGGAACCAGCCAAATTTCAGTAAGTGCACCACTGTCTGTTCAACACAAGCCAGTCCAACCACTGTGAATGGACTTGCTTGGGTTTTCCTGCTGACAACTGAAGTGTAAACAATTGCACAGAGCTGTCAAAAAAAAAGAGAAGCAGCCTGACAATGTTTATCAACAACAACATTGTTTCATTTTGTATCTTTCTGTTTATTCATCTACAGATCAAAGGGATGAACTTCCATCTGTAGATGAAGTCAGTTAAAAGCAACCTGTACAGTATATAAAAAAAAAAAAAAAAAAAACATGCATTTTTTAAAATTTTTTAATTTTAATCTGTTTAACCCCTTAATAACCCTTAAAGCGGAGTTCCACCTGAAAAAAAAAATAAGTCAGCAGCTAAAAAACTGTAGCTGCTGACTTTTAAAATCCAGTCACTTACCTGTCCTCACCACGGCTGGTTTCACCGGCCGTCTTCTCCCCCTGGTGCCGGCATCTTCAGTGTGGGCCCCCGGCTGTGACAGATTGCGACTTAACAAAAAACGCTAAAAACACAAACGTGGAAAAACGCCGCTAAATGTGGCAAAACGCTGATAAATGCCAATGCAAAAACGCTAATAAAAGCTGAAAAACTCAGGTTTTTAACGTGACTTTACACAGCTAACGTTAGCAGCGTTAACAAAACGTCCCGTGTGAGTGAGGACTTACATGTACATCAGAATTGACCCGGTAGGCCAGGGGTGTATTTACCACAAGGCAAACAAGGCATTTGCCTAGGGCAGGGGTAGGCAATCTGAGAACCGCAGGACTACAAGCTCCATCATGCCTCTGCAAGTCATCGCTGTAACTGTCAGTTTTGTAATTTTAGCAATGCCTCATGGGAAATGTAGTTCCACAACAGCTAGAGAGCCGCAGGTTGCCTACCCCTGTGCTAAGGTGTAATTTTTCAGGGGGGCAATGCTGTCCCCCGAAATGAGGAAAGGAAGAAGGGACACATGCAGCACCAGGGACCAGGTGGGATCTGTGAGAGGCTGCTTGATGGTGTATGCAGAGCCTGACTCTTGTTCCTGGGGATGTCCGGAGTTATGAAGGTGAGTGCCTTATCTCTTGACGGGGGGGGGAAGGTTGCCAGTGTATGGGGGGCGGTGGTAGTGGAAGGCTCTCTCGGGAGGAGGCTGGGTTGTGGTTGGTCAATTTCAAGCTCTCTTTGTGCGGGAGGGGGCGTTGGCTGGTGTCAGCCGGTGTCAGGGTCTCTCCATGGGGGGGGGGGGGGGGCAATTTTTGTGTTGCTCTTAATACACCACTGCAGTAGGCAAGTTGTTAAATCCCAGCAGTGTTGTCACCCTCTTCTTCAGTATGTCCCTTGACATTTGTCACCCTGTAGGAAGTGCAAGAAATGCCTACTAAGGCAGTGTAGTCCCGGTTGGGATTAGGACAGCAACAGAAGTGATATGGATGAGTCTCGCCGGTATAGCCCCGGTTGCACGGAAGCGTAGTCATACAGCCACTACTTGACAAGTAACACATGGATGGCATTGTAGTGCTACCATACACTACACCGACATACAGTTTATGAAGCCTTGCCATGTATTCTGACTGTCCCCATTCCTCTTCTGTCTCTTCTTTCCTCCAGATGGCCAATACATCAGGAATGATATGGGAGAACTTCTGTTGTCTGATCCCTCTACCACTAGGGGGAGTCTTCCAAATCACTCACCTCCTGTCACACATCACGCAGATCAAAGAGAAACAGTTATTATTGAAGAAAAGCGTTTTGTGTGTCAAGAATGCGGAAAATATTTCACACAGAAATCAACTCTTACTTCTCAC